CCCCAAAACCCCAAAACCCCAAAACCCCGACTTTGCATTAATATATTGAATAAACTTTGTCAAACATTATTCTTGGAGTGAATCCTTTTGGTTTTAAGGAGCCTTGATAATTTTTATCTTTATGTCATTCAAATCAAGGTATCTTTCGAATTTCAGCTGTTCACAGTCGGTTTTAGACAGTACCAAGTGCTTTAAACTCTTATTCATGCTAGAGCATTTGAGCAAACTATTGAGCAGCTTGATCAAAGAGTCTGGGCTCTCTTCCCAACTGTTCTGGCCTATTAAACTACAAGAGGCTAGGCTTATTTTGCTTATGTTTGAGTCTTCCAGTGCGTATGTAAAGTCAAATTCAGTGCTCAGATCAAATTTGCATCCCTCCAGGTCAACCAATCTACTCTTTTGAGAAGTCAACAGAATACAGAACAGTTGGGTTGATGTTAACTCATAGTTATAGATCCCAACTTTTCTGAGAGTCTTCGAGCAGGCTTGTAATACCCCATCTTCATAGTAAGAAAAATTTGAGCTGAGAACCCCTCCCTTATTGAAGCTAAATTCTTTTACCTCTTCAGGGAAAAACCTCATAAGATAATTCTTAATGGACCCTCAGCCTGAAATCTCAGTGCTTTCATGATTTTGTTCGAAGTCCTAGATTTTTAAGAATTGTAATGGAATTTTTAAAGGTGGTTTTTAAAGGAGATTTGAGGGATTTTTGGGGGAATAGTGGAATTTTGATAGATTTCGGAATTTTGGGAAGAGATTTATGAGTTTATTGGCTGATTTGGGAAAGGGATGGAAATTTTGGATTTGAATTACTTGTTTTATAGCATTATCTTTGGGATCTGGGACGTTGTTGAAGAGTATGGAATTCACATTGACAAGTCTTGCTTGATCATCTTCAATTTTTGAGCTAGCGCTGTTAATATCGTCAAGAAATTCAAGGTCTTTGGGGGTATTTAGGCTTAGGCGTAGCTTGAAGAGGGCTCAAACTGTTCCATGTTTAGAATCAAGGACATTAATGGTGTGCTTAAGTTTCATTTTAAGGAATATATTAATGTTTGTATTTATACACAATCTGATTCCACAGATTATCTTTTTGAAAAGCATAAACTGAAAATCTGGGTTTTTGTGATAGTATTTGAAGGTTAAAGAAGGTTTTATATCAAGATACCCCAGTCTCTATTCAGTCCTTCCAGCGCAATGGAAAGATATCTTTCGATAACTGCTGTTGAGTTCATTTGGTTTCTATTATTATGTCTTGAATCTTTATTCTCCTCAGTCATAGAACTTTCATTTTCAGTGTACTGAATACGACTACCTTGATTTGATCAACTCATCCCATTATTTTCTATTTCTCAAGACTCAGTAGAAGGCATATTTTGCTATACTTAAAAGCTTTGATAAATACTCTTTCTTGACTCTCTGTTTCATCTTCTATAATAATGTCAAGTTTTATTAACTAAAAAAATGCGCACTAACTTCAGGATTCTTTAATCTGTAAAATATACAGTTTTCCTATAAAAACAGACCATTGAGGCTTCTCTAATCCTCTTGTTCTTAGGATATGGAGTCTGAAAATTATAACACAGCATATTCTTGATGCTAGTATTTCATAACTTATTTCATGTATGGAAAGGAACAAAACTGAAGATTCAACAGATACATCAGATTAGCCACAATTTATTGAAATCAGAAATTAAGTCTTGGTTTTCTTACCTTCCGTGCTACTCTGTGGAAATAAATTGGCAAGGAAGGACTGAACTTCCCTGGCTTTAATTGCTGAAAATACTTTCTCCATTTCCTCCTCCAATAGGAGTCCTCTAAATTTATTTTTGACATTATCTTCTATTGCTAAGCATTCAGTGTAGTCAGATTCAGAAGCTGCTTTTAGTAAATTCTCCTGTATTTCTTCGAATTTCTTCTTGCATGCTTCAATTTCTTCTTTAAGTTCTTCTGCTGCTTTCTCGCTGAGATCATCAGAGCTGTCAAGTTTGGACTGGGCTAGCCGATTAACAACCCCTCCTATCTGTTCTATCTCTCCTCTAATCCTCTCAAAATCGATCTCTTCCCACCTTTCCCCTCTATAATCCCTTTCATAACATTTCTTCCACACCCCAATATTCTTGTTTACGTAAATCTCTCCTAGGTCACTTCAGCCTCTAATTTCGCACACAAATTTTACTTTTGGGCCTGTTTTTTCCATTTTTATTAGTTTTAATGGGGTTTTGGGGTTTTGGGGTTTTGGGG